GCCCCTACACCCCCTCCCTATCACTGTCACCTCCTCCAGCCCCTACACCCCTCCTCCGGCCCCTACGCCCCTCCCTCTCTCTGTAACCTCCTCCAGCCCCTACACCCCTCCCTATCTCTGTAACCTCCTCCAGCCCCTACACCCCTCCCTATCTCTGTAACCCCCTCCAGCCCCTACACCCCTCCCTATCTCTATAACCTCTTCCTGCCCCTACACCCCTCCCTATCTCTGTCACCTCCTCTAGCCCCTAAACCCCCTATCTAGCCGTGTCACCTCCTCTAGCCCCTACACCCCCTCCCTATCTATGTAACCTCCTTCAGCCCCTCCACCCCTCCCTATCTCTGCAACCTTCTCCAGCCCCTACACCCCCTCGCTATCTCTGTAACCTCCTCCAGCCCCTCCACCCCTCCCTATCTCTGTAACCTCCTCCAGCCCTTACACCCCTCCCTATCTCCATCACCTCTACCAGCCTCTAAATGCCTCCATATTTCAGCGAGTGGGGTGGTGGGGTGGAGAATGTGTGACTGACTTCCACAGGAATTGGGGTTGGGGGGTAGAATGTGGAAGTCGCTCCCGCAGGGGGGAGGGAATGTGGGACCCTCTTTCACGGGGAGTGGTCGAGGTGAATCATGTCAATGTATTGAGGGGCGGAATGTTGGATAAACGAGCGAGGGAGTGAGGGTGCAAGGGAGAGAGGGAGCAAGGTGTTGTGGGGGAGATAAAGTGGTGGTATATGGACAGACAGCAGCAGGAAGCCGATGGCCTGAGTGGACTCTCTCTGTGCCCTTCCCTGGTCTGTCACAGACTGTTGGAGGTGTTGACAATTGGGACGGTCCAGGCGTCACGCGAATGCAGAGGGCTTACCTGCAAAGAAGGTGAGAAACATTGCCACCCAGCCTAGGATGTAGGACCAGGAGAATCGCCAGTCCCCAAACCGCTTGCCAAGGAAGTTAACAGTTACTCCCGTGTAGACAGCCATCGCGATGAGCAGCAGGAACACTGAGCGGCCAGAGGGAGGGAGAGAGAGAGAGGGAGGGAGAAAAGGGGGGCGGGGAAGGGAGAGAAAGACAACGAGACGGAGAGAGAGAGGGGGAGAAAAGAGGGGCGGGGAAGGGAGAGAAAGACAGTGAGAGAGAGAGGGAGACAGACAGAGAGAGAGAGAGACAGAGAGAGATAAAGGGAAACAGAGAGAGGGAGAGACAGCGAAAGAGAGAGGGGGAGGGAGAGAGAGAGGGGGAGGGAGGGAGGGAGAGAGAGAGGGGGAGGGAGAGGGGGAGGGAGGGAGAGGGAG